TGGCTAAGGAAGCAAAAAGATGCATTTTGGAGCATTTTGGAGCAAAATTGGGCTTGGAATGGATAGCATATTTTTGGAGCCAAAGTGTTGGACGAATTTGAAAGCCTTGTATGCACTTTGGACATAAAACAAAGGGCCTAGCCCAATCAAACAATCCTTTGAGCCATGCAAAACCTCTAGCCCAATCAACAAGCCTTAGCCACATGCATTCACATGCATCACAACCCCAAAACCATCAAGAAACACCCATTCACACACACATGCACTCACATGCATTCACATGCATTTCCACCTTCCTACTTCATCATTTCACCACATTCTCCCTCTTTAACTCACATGCACCCAAACAAAGCCAACCTAGCTAACCCTACATGCATTATTTATTCACTCTTCATCATTGCATTCATCACCAAAGAACTCCCCATCATTGCCATGCATTCCCCCTAATTCCATCCATCTTCCACACCTTTCCAACCTAGCCACACCCTTTAATCGTCCCCCCTTTAAGTTATGATTTTATTTCCTAACCCTACATGCATTATTTATTAACTCTTCATCATGCATCCACATTCATTCCAACACAAAACACACACATGCACTTATTCTTTCATCATTGCACCACCAATTCACCCACATGCATTTCCAACCATTCACACCCCTTTAATCATTCTCCTAGCTATCATTCACATGCTCTCCCATCCATTCTCTCCCTATATAAACCACACACACTTCATTCATTTGCATCATTCAATTCACTCTCTATTCTCACACCACAACTAATACAAACACTCTCCCTTAGAATCCAAAAACCATTCTTCCATTTCCACCACTCCTCACCACTTCCATAATTCCACACTTCCATTCCCCCAAACCAACTATCCTTAGACCTTATGCTACAACGAAGAGGAAGATAAGAGGGCCTAAACGTTCATACAATTCAAGTTTGAGTTGTTGGAATGTTTAGGCGTTTCTTTGATTTCAATGTTTAATTTCAATTCTCTTTGTTTTGTACGTATGAGGAACTAAACCCCCCTTAGCTAGGGGGTGATTCGAAATATATGTTTATGCTTGCAATATGATTTGAGTACTTTTAATTACGTTTCATAAGTTGTGAATTCAATTTGTTTAACTATTTGATTGATATCCTATTTATGTATGTTTATTAAGAATGAACGCTTAATTTTCATGCATGAATTTGACGCTAGAATATAAGTGAGTTTCACGTAATAGTTATGAACTTATATTCACAAGTAGTGGAGGTTGCTTATAAACAATCGCGTTAAACAAATTCTTGGCATAAGTTTCATGCAATCATAGTAACGAATGCCTCGTCAACACTTATAGTTTTCATGATGCTTAATGATTCTTGCTTGTATCTCTATTATGCAATTCATGTAGGGAACTTGTGAGGAATGCTTTGGGTTGTCGTATGCAATCATCCAATTCATTAACTTAAGGAAAACTTGACGGTTAATTTAAGCGGACCTAATTAACCCGGGGTGTTGAGAATGCATGGTTTATTGAAATGCAATTGGAAATCTTTTTATTATGCAAGTGTAACATGTGTGGAGATAAACCCCTTGGCTAGCATCCATTCATTCCATTTCATCAATTTCATATTTACATTCTGTCTAGTTTATTAACTTGTTTCGTTATTTCAATTTTCGTCAAACCTCAATCCCCCTTTTTCTTTAATGTTCAATTTAGTTAGAAATCAATTTAGTTTGTGTTTTTAAAGCATTTTGAGTCTTTTGGTTTGTCTTAGTGTTTTAACGTTTAATTTCACATTCTTTTAGTCTAGTTTAGTGTTTTATATTGTTTTTACGTTTTTGAGTCAGTTTCCAAGAGATTAACAATCCCTCCTAATCCCCGGTCCAGAACGATCCCTACTTACATACTTACTACAATTGTCAAAAAGAGGGTTTAATTTGTGCGCGTATAATTCTCGCATTAATAAACCCACCTATTTGAATGAATGGATGAGCCCATTCCTATAATAATAATACAATGAAATTGGGCCCATGTCTACAACAATAATACAAAATGAAATTAAATGAAAGAAATTGAATTGGCAACTTTTTCTAGGCCCTCTTTCTCTCTCATTTCGAAACCTTCCCAGACTTCTAGAGCCTTCTCCCTTCTTTGATTCCAAACCGAAAGTCACCAAGTTCATACGTCTCTCTCATTTCTCTCACTCTCTGTAAGTCTAGAAACCATTCTAACATCACCAAACTTCTTCAAATCCCTCTATTTCTAACCGTAATCTGCTCTTAGTCTCTCTCTTGATTTTATCGAAATCTCACTCAGATGGACAAAGATAGCACATGGCTCCGGATCAGAGAAGACGGTGGGCTTTAGATCGACGAAGGTGGCGACAATGATGGCGCGAGGGACGTGCTTTTCATCATCGAACTTGGAAAAGATGGTGTTGAAGGCGTCATCGTTCGTGGCCAATAGTTTTGTCACTAGGCATCTGGATTTCGCGACGTCGGAGGAAGACGACTTGAATGATGTCGTTCCCTTCTGTTGGACTCGTGGACCCAACCCAAACCAGCCTATTTCAATCAGGCCGAGTTATGTTCGGTTCCAACTTCAGAAATTTCAATACCCGACCCACCCTGCCCCGTTTCATTTTAAAGTAGATTCGGTCCAGTCCCTTCAAATTTGAACCCGGCCCGTGCCCACCCTTAGTAGGGACAACAATTGAAATAAGCAAAAAAAACAAAAAACAAAAACAGGAAAAAAGGAAAAGAAAAAGAGAGCAGTGAACAGACTGATTCGTGCTTCTCTCTTCTCCATCTTCCCACGTTCTTTCACATTGTACCAAACAACCGCTGCAATTTCCAATTCTCATTGCTTCTCATAAGTTTAAGATATCTTAATCTCTCTCTTATGCTTGTTTTTGTGGTCAATTACCAAGTCAAGTTGGAAAACTTACACTATTGCATATCTTGATCTTACGGGTAATGACTTTCCCAATGCAGAAAATCTCAATTCATGGCCCCCTCATATTTCTTGTTAAACATAATTGGACTTGAGTTGGAGCAATCTCATTAATGGTTATGAATGGCTGGAAGCAAAGGCAAATCTAGGAAGAAGTAGAGAGGCTCCTTACTGAATGATTGCGCGATTTCCAACTCATTGAAACCACTTACAAGGCGCTCTGACAAGATGTAACTAGCATGAGCTGACCACCTTTCATAGACAAAATTAAGCAGATGGAGCCCTCGCGCAAGTTCAACATGACACATTTCACCCCTTTCAAGGGAGATGGAGACCTATAGAGGCACCTGAAGCACTATCGCAATGTAATGATCCTTTATAAGAGCAATGATGCGCTCATGTGCAAGATATTCCCCACCACCTTGCAAGGCGAGGCACAAGATTGGTGTCACACCCTGCCACCATGGTCAGTCTAGAGTTTCAATGAACTTTCTTTGGTCTCCACTAAGGAATATTCATCATACTTGATCAAGAAAAAGTCTGACCACCTGTTCAAAATCAAAAAGAATCCGAAGGAAATGCGTCGCGACTACGTGAAGAGGTTCAAAGCGGAGAAGGTTAAGATAGTCAACCACCTGTTCAACATCAAAAAGAATTCGAAGGAAATGCTTCGTGATTACGTAAAGTGGTTCAAAGCGAAGAAGGCTAAGATAGTCGGATGCAACGACTCGATAGAAAGTGCAGCCTTCTAAAAGGGCTCCCAGCAGACCACCCATTATTTAGAGAATTGATCATGGGAGAAGACTTGACACTAGCAGACTCATTCACTCTAGCAGAGAAGAATGCACTATGGGATGAAGTTTGGCGAGCCATCAAAGCACTCGAGCAGCCTCAGAAGGAGCTGGAAGTAGCCTAGAAGACGGTGGACGGGAAGAAATCAAATGACAAGAACAAGTCAAGGACTAAACGCAGGGACCGTTCTTGACAAAGTGTCCATTCGCGGCTTGACCTGTTATTCGATAAAAAGCAAATACTAATGCCCGATTTAATCATAATGTTTTCTTGATATTTCTATAGTTGAGTGTATTTCTTGGTATTATGTTTATAAAGAAATGAAATTCAGCAAATCATTGTTGTTTAGTTCAATTTTCAGAAGGTTTTGAAGTTTAGTCGACGTGAAGTCAGAGCAATCTAAATTTACTTGATGTTGGTTTTGTTTAGAGGTAGAGATTGAAAAAGGGATATGTGGTCTAATTTGATACCGTGATATTGAGATGGGGGATCAATGCTCCAAACTCATGCCATGTTGCTGGAATTCCCAAATGAAGGCAGCGGTACTCGAAGCTCCTGACATTGGCGGTTTAATATACATGTTTCTTTTGTTCTGGCGTTTTATGTTTTGATGGAGAAACCGATCATATCTGATGCTTGTGGATTGTTTACCTTTAATACGGATAATGAGGAGCAGCAAGGTTGATAGCTTGTCTGCATTTCCTGAATTCACGTTTGAGCAACTTAAAAATGCGACATCTGGTTTTTGTGTGGAGTACATTGTGTCTGAGCAAGGAGAGAAGGCTCCAAATGTCGTTTATAAAGGAAAACCTGAAAATCAGAAGAGAATTGCTGTTAAGGACTTGAATAGGATGGCCTGGCCCGATGATCACAATTTTTGGTATGCATACTCTCTGTCTTATAAAACTCTAATTCAGATACTTTGGTGATGGAAATTGGTCCACATTTTCTGCAGAACTATTGTTTTTATCTTTATGTTTTACACTAATATAACTTTCTGTTGAGATCTTATGTGGTTTGAAATTTGGGTCATAGGGTGCTTTTGGCTTATAAAATTCATGAAATGCAGAGCTGTATTTCTCTGTGACTGAAATTATTCTCTGAAATCATATATACTAAAACCCGTAAGGGTTGAGTACTGTGGGTGACCAGTGTTGTTCCAATTTTGCCCTTCAGTTGTTCTTTAAGTCTTACTTTTTTTTCAATTACACAGTAAAATGACGGTTTTGACCCTGGATTGCCAATAGAAGTCTCTCGACTCCCTCAGAAACGAAATCCAAAAAGGAAAAACTGTGCTCTGCAACACGATTGACGATTTCGATTCCGCTTTGTGGATGCCTCTGGAACTCTCCAGTCCTGCGTCCGTTCATCCTATCGCTGGACCTTCCACTTCCAGTGCGTCTTCATGGTTTTTTCATCCGTTCCCTCTCTCTCTTTCTCAAATTTCTGCTTCCGCCGTTCTCAAACTCGCCTCTCTCACTCTCAAGCGTTCAGTCTCTCTCGCTCTCAAACGTTGCCGATCTGTCGAAACCCATATTCCTTTCCTCAAAATCCAAGGTACGGACTTCATGCAGCACTAAGTTTTTGGGATTTTTTTTATATTTTAGTTTTGGATTCGTAATTTTTTGCTCGGTAGATGAGAAAATGTGATTCCGTGTTTTAGTTTTGGTGTTTTTGTGATTTTGGGTTCGTAGGTGTTTCAAATTTTGGATGTTTGTTTGTAGGTTGCAAAACCCTTTGTTCTCAACGTAAGTAATTTAAAATTCTGGGGTTATTCTATTGAAAGTTTCAATTTATAGTTTAGTTTAGTTTTTTTTATAATCAGAGTTGAGTTGGTATTTTGTTTGTGTTTGATTATATTGAAATCGGAGTTTCAGAGGACTTCTGTTTGGGTTTGATATTTTCCCACGATGTATAAAATGAGGGATGGCAAAGCATTTAATGCACCAGATTATATTGGTTGTTTTTGTTATTTCATGCTACGTATTGTAATTGGGAGATTAATCTGTTAATTTGTGTTTATGTAGAAATTGGAAGAAGCAAAGAACATGTATGCTTTTAGCACCACCACCTACACTGGATTCCAATGAACTATATCCGAAGAAGCATCTGAAAAATTCAAAGGTATGCATAGTAGTCAGTTGCATTTGTGTTTTGCAGCTCATGGAATGCTTTTTGCAAGCTTAGATTCAGCTCATGAAAGTTCTTATTGCTGTGGTTGTGTTGTGGTTGCAGCTTATGGAATGATTTTAAAAAAATCAGGCCATAATCAGTTTGTACAGGAATACCAAGAAATCAGGGATTAGGATTAATCTCCCTGTTAACATGTGGCCAGTAACATGTCCAGGGCAAGCTTTGAATGCACCTGATGACTTGCCTAAGAATGTCACACGGACTTTGAATCAGGGCTCAATTCCCATGAGCATGGATTTTCATCCTTCAGAGCAGACTCTACTTCTTGGGTTGTATTTTTTAAGTAGCTACTTATATTTATTTGTATACCTTTGGCTCTACAGTTTTTCCCTAGATGCTTGCTGCTCATAATTGACTGTTGATTGTTCTCTGTATATGCTTCAGTTGGTACCAATGTGGGGGACATAGGGCTGTGGGAAGTTGGATCTAGGAAGATCCTCTGCATGGTAGTTAATAGATACTTTTCTATTTGAAAGTTCTTATTGTTGTGGTTGCTGTGTATCTACTTAGATTAATTATAAATTAGAGGTGGTTAAAAATTCGAAATTTTATTGATGCATGTTTTCTTCTTTCTTCCTAGCTATCAATTTGTTGTCTGAGGAGAATCTGAATAGATCAGATAGTACATGAAGAAAATGATTTTGGTAACGAAGAAGAAAGAAGAGTAAAGTAATGAGAATGAAGAGAACTTTGCCGCTAAGATTAAAATAGACATTGTAGTGAGCAAAGTCTAGGTATGAAGAGTCTGAGTTACATAATTGTTAATGGCTTTGAACCTTTCTAATTTTGTAAACCGTTAATACTGTCTTAAAATTTAAATTATGAATCCTTATAATTGAAATGTCAATGATTCGAAGCTCCTGACTGAATTATTACAGTTCTGTAAGATTTATTGATTACCTTTTTTCGAACTGTCTCTCGCAGCGGAATCACCGCCACCAACAGCTATGGCTACACAGTTCGTCGTCATCCAGTATTCCTCCAAAATTCCACTATCTCTCTTTCTTCTCTCCTACTCAGTGCGTCTCTATTCTTCCAGGTCCACCAATATCTATATCCCAAATGACTCTTTATATGTATCTATTTGTTAGAGAAGGCTTTTGCCTTTTGGGTTCAATTTTATCTGCTGTCTGCATTGGATTTGATGTCTTCTTGGTCCCTATTTTTTTTTATCCAGCAATCGAGCTTGCATTATCACTTAAGAAATTAGCAAATGAAAGCTGCTTCACTTGCACACTGTAAAACATTCATTGTTATTGTATGATGTCTTTTTAATATAAGATGATTAGGCTTAGGTGATTATATTTTGTACCATCAATTGGTTCGTGTTGTGAATTAACAGTCTTACTATACTATGTTCATCCTTGAATTTACGACTAACAGGTTGCTGAGAAGAACAAAGATGTGCAATTAATAGATTTTGTTGAAATCAAGATTTTAGCTGAGCAGGTCAGTCTTGATCTCTTCCCTTATTTTTCATCAGTTGGAAAGGTTCTACAGGGACGCTTGCATGATTTTTGATGTTCTGTTTTTACCTTTTTAGGTGGAAGCCTATCAGGAAAATATCTGAACATTTTGCTCAACTAAGGACACTTCACAAAGGGCACAGTAGGAACCCGTAATTCAATTTCATTGTCATCTTTATCACATGTTTAGTGTTCATCTTTTGAATATAACATTACTTATCTGATTTCATTTTCTGTTCCTTACTTGAGTTTCTCAAAACCTAATGCAAACAACTAATATGGCTAAAATTAGTCTCTCATGTATTTTCCTCATCTGAATTGGGGTTTTTAAAGTTTATCAAGAAATTTGATCTGGGATTCTGAATTTTTTTTTACAACTCAGAAATTTGTGGAGTTATTCTTAGGTTTTATCAAGAAGTTTGATCTAGGTTTCATATATTTTGTGACTCACATTGTTTTTTAGCATTTTTTTTCTGATTTCTGCTTTCTTTTGATTTATGGGCCTGCATCAAGCTTCTGCCTTTCTATATTGATGAAATACTGATGGAAATGAGTTTCTTGCCAAGGCTCACAAGGCACTGAAATGCCCTTGCAAAGCCGACTTACAAAGTGGGCCCTATGGACTTCAGTTTTCAGAGGCTTTTCTCTGTTATCTTAAAAGCACGGTGGAAGAAAAGGGATCAGGCTGTGTCCATCCATTTGTAGTTTTGCAGAATTGTATTAAAGTTAATCCTTCTAAAGACAATTTAGAAGAAGATGCGATTAACAAAGATGACGACTACAAAATCTTCCCCTCAACATGGTCCAGAGAATCTCAAAGATTAACAAAGATGACGACTACACCACTTTTTCTCTTTTCCTTATAACAAACAATGACCATTGAGTTTTTTTCCTTTTTTTTTCTTTTTGAAAAATACATGTCACTGAAAAAAAAAAAAAAGGATCCGGATTGTTAGTCATTTATATATTTTCTTTTAACCACTAAGAACAACAACAAAAAAGTGATCTTTATTGTTTTGTGAGTGTGAAATGGTATCTTTAGATTTTCATGAAGTTGTGTTTTGCTTCCATGACTCAGAGGGTGGATATGGCGGTGGACAAGGACAGGCAAATAAATTGGTCTCACTATCTGCCGTTTTGGCTTAGCCAGTGTCCATATATCTTTGTTTAACTCAGTTAATGTTAGTTGTGATAGCTTGACTAGGCTTATACAACATTACTTATCTACTCTATTAGATAGTGCTTTGCATTCTTTTCCTTACAATTGATAGCGTGTTCTTTGACTTACAATTGACAGCGCGTTCTTTGATTTCCCAGATGCCACATCTTGCAACGACTTATGCTGCAGTTAATGCACTTATAACTCCTTGGTGGTGAGGCGAACTCTACAAATTTTTGCAGTAAATGAAACTTCCAAGCGGTGGCTTCAGGTTAGATATCACATTCATTTGTGTGGTTCTATAGTTTGAGGACATATATGTACAAGGATCATATCATTACCTTTGATATACTTTTACCATGAATTACTTCTTGAATACATGATGGTGGAGAAATTGATGTCCGGCCTTGCTACACTGCGGTTTCTGGTAGTCTTTCTCTGTTCTGTTAGTTTCTGTTAGCCTCTCTGTCTATCACACTTAAATGGTGGAGAAATGTACTTCTATTATTCATCTATTTTGAGGAAAATTGACGACACAATCATTTTATCTATTTTGATGGGCCCATTTTGATAAAAATGGGATTACAGAAGCTAAGAAAGCTACTGATGCACATATGCTATCGCTAATTTTTTGTGTTTGATTTGTGATTTTGAAAATAGTGGTTATTTCTAAGTGCGTGTTACTGTTTGGTTTAAGGCTTCTAAATCTAAGGTAGCTGCTAAGAATGGCCCAACTGCTGCTACAAAGAAGAAAGAAGTCTCAGATGAAAGCTCAGATGAGAGTAGCGATGATTCGGAAGATGATGATGTGAGTTTTTGGTTTTCCAACCTGGTGCTCTAATTTTTTTTTTTTTTCCGTTGGGGTTGTTGCATGGGACATTCACCTGAAGATTGAGTCACTCATATCTGTATATTTGGGATACATTGTGTTGTGTATTTATTCTTTGTTAGATTGAGAAAGATACTTTTTGGTCGATAGTGATCCTCAACTTTTGTGTCCACAGGAAACCCCTGCAAAGGTTGCTGCGCAAAAAGCCTGCTCAGTTGCAAAGAAAGGCTCATCAGTGGCTGTTAAGAAGGCAGACACTAGCAGCTCTAGATCTAAAAAGAGCTCTGAATCTGAAGATGAGGTGTGTGCTCATGCTTAAATATTTGTATCATCTGAAGGATGTTCCTTTGATGATTGTTGAATCCTAATCTTTCTGAGCATGGTTAGGAAGTTATGAAAAAAGTAGAAAGGATGTTCCCTTGATTGTTCAGAGAAGAATTCTGGTGATAGTTCATAGGAAGTGAAGGTTTATGTATTTTTTTAAATTCCAGTTGGAATGTGTTGCAATAATATCAGTCTTTGTGAGATCAAATGAATAACACCTACCTCTTTGCCTCTTTCTACATGTTTTATACAGTTTCAAAACCCGCAGCACCGCGCGGGCAAGCTTGCTAGTTATTTCTATACTAAAACCCAAACGCCAGTGTACTGTTCACAGACAGTGGAGTGGCGAAAGTGCCCTCCGTTTGGTTTTCCAGCAAGCTTTTTTCTCTTTGTTGCACAGTTAAATGACGGAATTGCACTTCTAGGCCACGCGTGACTCCAATTCATTTGCCCAGCCCACGTGTTGATCATCGTAGGCTGTTGCGTTTCCCCTATATTCCTCCCACTTTTACTTTTGCTTCCCATGTTAGTCTCTGCTTTTCTATTACTTTTAGACCTCACTTTCTTTCCCTTTCAAACCTTGCTTCCGTTGGTCGCGAATTTGTCGCTCTCAAATCCCGCTTTTTGTCGTTCTCGGCTCTTGGTTTGCTCAGAAAGCACCGAATCAGTTTAAGGTTGTTCAACTTTTCAGTTTTCTTTGGTTCAAAACTGCGGGTTTGATTTTGTTACATATAAAAATATCAAAAGTTAAATCTTTGTTTGTGTGAATTTTTTAACCCAGATTGTGTTATGGGTTTTGTTCGTTGGCCTTTTTGAGATTTATGATTTGGTTTTTTTGGTTGATACGTTTGTTTTGCAGGTTTCGTTTATACAGAGACAAGGACAACTTGGCCACTGCACCATTTCTCGGCACTTGAGGGTAAGATTTAGCTGGTGAGGTGGTGGATTGCAAAGCTGTAATGAGATCTTAGCTTTATTTTTAATCAACGAATTTGGAAGCATCTTTATATGTTTAGTTTGCTATCTTCTGTTTCGGTTGGATTTTAGGCACTGGAAATTATGAGTTGTTTTGGGTATGGTTTCCTGCCTCTGCTGCTTCCTGATTCTGTCTCTGTTTGTTATTTGGTTTGCTAGAATTTGTGGTTTTGTCCGTAAATTTTGAAAAAAAATTGGGCTAAGCAGAGGAACCAATTCAGGTCTCAGTCATGCTCCCTTCAATCGTAGTTTTATACAATACAAAAGCATTATAATTTAGAAAAATGTTAGTCGTTGTTTGTTAGCAAACTCTATGAGTTGGACTGCTCCCTAAACAGATAGTGAACCATCTTAATTTTTCATTAAAATCACAAGCTTCGATATCTGAGTCTGCCATATTAGTATCATTCATTAGTTTTTAATCCCATTAATTGTATTTTGAACATGTTTATTTTTCATACAACAATAGTTATAAACATGTGAATTCTTTTACATCTTAAAAAATAAGAAACTGATCAGGTTTCTGATTTTCCAAGCCTGGTTTATTCTGCATCAGGTACACTTCTGGGCATCATTACTGGTGTCAATTTCTTTACAACTCATGGATAAGTAGTTTCGCGATATCAGTTGATGGACTCGGTAAGTGAATTCAATTATAGTTTTCTTAGCTGAGTTGATATCTTATCCACTGCACTGTCCACCTTCTTTTCTTTTGAGAAGATTTGTTTTCTATTGAATTAATAATAAAAATAACTGGAGAAGGAAATTGAGAAAGAAAAAAAAAAACAGCTTTTCTTGGATATGTTTATGGAGATTTTCTTTAGTATTTACTCCTTTTGGTATGTTGTGATTACACGCAAATACAGATTATATGTCAATATTGTGGGGTTATAACACATCGGTTTTGGAAAGCATCATTTTGCGTTGTGAATTCTGAATTCTGTGTTTAATTTGCCTTTTATGTTTTGAATTTGAATTTGTAGTCTGATTATGATGTCAATGCAGATTGTCTACTATCAATCAGACACTAGACTATGCCTTCAATCAATTGAGAAAAGTCAGTTCATTTGCAGACTGCCTGGTTATGAGTTTACTTTTAACTATCTGGTAATTTGCAACCAAGTTTTCTTTTTCAACTTATGCTCGGTTTACTATTCTTCTGCAGCTTATTTTTTCACAGATTCAGTCTTCAGTAGATGGCTGAGGAATTTCCACATGCAGCACTGTATCAAATTATCATTGATCATAGGGTATGGCATTGTTAGATCATCTTCTGTTCACTTTGATCAAATTTTTATCGACTTTTTTTTTGTTTTTTATTTTTATAATTATGATTTATTTCTTATTTTGCCTCAAGTTTGGTTGACTTAAGCTTTGTTTATTATCTCTGCAGTACGAAGAAGGCCTTATTAGTGTAATGAGAGAGTCCAATATCCACTGGACGGTAAGTGATCCATTCTTTTTGTTTTTTGTTTTTAATGCAATGTCCATACTTAGTGTAATACCATATGTTTGACCTTTGTTTTTAAATTAAAATCCACCAATTTGGTTGTGGTTTGTTCCATGATAATTGTATAAAGATGATCATGACATTACATAGTTTGGGAATTAGACTAAGCAATTTGATCAATCTGAGTAAATATATTTTAGCTTTTCTTATGTTTTGACTGTTAAGATAGAAAGTTAATGGATCATTTACATAGAACTCACAAATTATGAGTGTGTTATTGCATATGCCCATATTGCTCCTAAATACTAATCAATCAGTATAATTTGTTTTTGGAAAACTAAGTTTAATTCTGGATGGGAGGTAGGTAGGGATTAATTTTGAGAATCGTTACCCTATGAGGATATTCACAGTTAATGGTGAAAGTTATTTTATTTTTTAAATTATCTCATGAATAAATCTGTTGAGGGAGATGATAGTTTTCTTAAAAATAGCATCAGAAGGGAAAATGGATATTGAATTTTTTGGGTGGTTATATTTATTTGTCAAAGTAATGATTTTGGTTTCATGGTGAAGGTTTTATGAGTATGACCATGATGGATCAAAAGCTAGGGTTGAATTGGCAATTGGAATCAAAGTCTTAATACATGGTTTTTTTTTTTTTTTTTTTTTTTTTTTTTTTTTTATTTCTGCTGCAAAGTTTTTGATTTTCTCATTTTTTTTATACACAAAATTCCATTTGAAAAGAGTAGGTTGGTTAAATACAAGTTTTCCATACGAATTAGAGGACTTATGTAGTGCTGATGTGGGTATTTTGATCTTCCGTTATAGGAGTGAAGAAACCGGCTGGATTAATCATCATCTTATTTTGATCAAATTTTGCAGTATAGATGATATAAGAATCACAATTGCATATGGGAACTGAATCATCATGACATTGGAATTCAAGTTTCTGTTTCTATCAATGCAGGCTATTGCTAATCACCAAATTAATTATGTTTGTTGAAATTTTTGGAATAACATTTTTCTAAAGCCTGATTACTTAAACCTCGCTGCAAAACAGTTGCACATGAAATCATGCACTTTACATGTACAATTACACTCAACTCAGCCGATTACTTTAACAATCTTGCTGATTTTGACCATGCTATTTTACGGATCTGCCAATTGACTTTCTTCTTTACACTTCATCGTGGTTATCTCATACCGATTGTCTAACACTTGAATCTTTTGTTTGCAGAAAATTTTTGGGCATTTTACACAAGTAATTGGAGCTGCTGCAAAATTTTAACACTAACATGGATGGAGTGTATAGAAATTTAACGGAGAGTGAGTAAATTGGCTAATTAAAATAATTTAAGTGACAGTGATCATAAAGTTCAGTAGCAAATTGACAGAATAGTCTTTTGAATTGATTAACCATCTACTTAGAGATGCATTAACAAACATCTGCACGCACATGCATTTAGGTTGAAGCAAACTATGTTATCACATGATTGAAATCATCTATTTACATCGATAAACTTTTAATTAGCACATGATTGATATGGGTATATAGACCCAACATCTTTAGCTATATGTTATAGTTTGACATAAAAATTGAATGTATCCGTTTTAAATCTTTCAACCATGTTATTCAACTGATACCATAAACTGCCATATTTTTTAAACTCTGTGGAAAGGAATTTACATGCAACATGATCAAAATGACTCTATAAACAGCTTATAAAATATCTTTTCAAATACATAAGCAAAAAGAGGGTTGGTTCTCACCACGTCTTTACCATTGTCCCATTTTTTAGCTATTATAAAGTCTATGAATTGCTAATGGGTTTACCTTTTTCATGGAATTTTCAGAATTTTGGGTCGTTGGAGGAAGAATTTGGCTGCTTGACATTTTGAGGTATATACTTTTGTTTTGATTTCTTCAGTTAGATAGTTAATTTACACCAATGCTTTTGTTTCTATTTGGGTTTTTGAAAGTTTAGGGATGTTGCTGAATCATGATAATATTTATCCAAATAGAGGTTAAGTCAATTTGATAATATCATGAGAATTGATGGTTATGAAACGTTAATATAATAAATTGATGCTTTGGTTGGTCTAGAATGGTGGTTCACCCAAGACACTCATGATAATACGTGGAAATCCTATTGCATAAAGATAGAAAATCATATGAACATTCAGATAGTTGCTTTACCGGCAATATGATTGCCCTTCATTTTCAAGTTTTTTGAAGTTAAAAAAAATAAAAAATAAAAAATAAACTACATTGACCAAGAAGAAGAATTTATGACTATAATTGTTTGAAACCGATAAGTACGTAATTTATATTCTTATTTGAGCAATGGAGTTCTCAACTAAGTGATTCTTGACAGGGTCTTAGAAATATGATCAGTTTGTCAAGAGTTTCATAGAGAGCTCTTTTGTTTCTCTTTGCAACCACTGCAAGAGTGCAATTAAAATTTAATCAAAATACCTTCACATTCATAATCCCAAAATTGACTTCATAAGATGAAATTAATTGACCTAATTATGTGCGAACCTCCAATTAAATGAATGAAATATTCAATGTGGATCGAAACCAAAACCGAAACCAAAACCAAAATGAAACAAACAACAGCAACTGCCGAAGTTTTTAAAAGTGTAATTTGGATTTATAAATAGATTTTCTGTTCAAATTTTGTTATTGTGATTTTGGAGAAACTCTTTCTTTAATCTACTTATGTTGTGGGATTTCAAAGTTGAAAACCATTTGCTTTCAATCTTTTGGAACAAATTAGCTTTGGTAGGTAACAGAACAGATAAATTTCTGGAGGATATAAAAATGTTTGCTTTGCTGAGATTGTTCTGTTTAAATTAATCAATTTTATAGTGCACTTTGAAACCGAAGTCATCGATCTGTTAGTTTCAATTTGAACACTTTTTGAAACTTAGAGATACATTTATTAGTTCAATTAGTTAATTCCTACTAAGATTCTTGCAAAACGCTTTTGTTATGCTGTAGTTAAAACACTTTTTAGGGTTGTAAATAGATTTTCACATGATGTAAATAAGATTGTTTTAATGATTTGGAGAATATGGAGAAAAGTCATTCCAAACTTAAAATTCAATGGTAGTTTATTGGTGTAAATTATGTTACTCATTAATTTTTCTGTCATTTTTTGGAGTGTCTAAATTTTGACTGTTGTTTAGCTTGGATAAAGCTCAAGGCTTATAACTAAGTTTGCTATTTATTTTGTTTGATGCATTTCCAGTCTTTGTAGCTGACACAACTACATCACCTCCAAAGTTGCAGACAAGGATTGCAAGGTTTTTTTCTATCCTTAGGTATTCATTGATTGAGTTTGTTTGCAGTTGAAAATGCTGTCTTAGTTAAGACTTAAGGAGAACATCATATTTACAAAATATACTCGAATGTGTTGTTCGTTGTTTCTGATGTTAATCGTTTTTTTTTTATCAAATTTAAAAACTCTTGTTTGTAATTTTAGTATTATTTTAGCATTTTGGCCTAATGGGTTTGGTTGCATCTAATTGCAAACCCTTCATTTTCTCATGATTTAGTAATTCACCAAGTAATTATGTTTATACATACTCTAATTTTTTTTTTTTTTTTGCCAACATGTGTTCATATAGCTGAAAATAAAAAATCAGCTGATTATATTAGATTAAACTTTGGTAGTCATTCAAACATAATTATTCCTGCAATTTGTAATCCTGCAGCAACGCGCGGGCATTATTATCTAGTTTACAATTATTTTTGGACCATATGATTGTCGTCAAATGTTTTATCAGCTCCATTAAAGGAAGCAAGTCACTTCTGTCTTCTCTATTTTGCAACCACTATTGTGAGACGATTTTCTTGTGCCCCAACTATAGGAGGAAATTAGTTGGTCAGCTCTGCAACCATAGATTGGTCAATTTGCTCGGTTGTTGTTGCGAAGGTGATGAGAGGTTGCTTGTGGCAGAATATATACCCAATGACACACTTGCAAAACTTCTTTTTCATTGTAAGGCTTACTCCTTATACGTATACGAGGTTTTTGGTTACTGTCTATCTTTACTCATATTTTAATTGTTGGATATAAGATCCATTTGGTCTTAAAATTGCCTCTACTTAATAGTTTCACTTTGTCTCACTGATCATTTAACTTTGGCTTTTCTTTTGGAAAGGACATACTAGGATATTAGGCATCACATTTATTTTCGAACTTCCAAAATATAAATTACTCTCGTCTGGTATAATTTATCACTTCTTTTCCCTGAATTCCATCGTCACCTAATATTGCTTAAGAGGCGTTGGTATGGGGATCTACATTGAGACAATGGTTGCAGGGTTTTTACTGCATCCCCCCTTTTGAGTGTTAGAAACATGTGCTGATAATCATTTTTGTTTATAGCACAGGTTCACGTTTGACAACTACGTGGTCTTATTTCAGTTATAGCATCTTCTCAAATTTTGCTAATTATCTTGTCAGTTGCATGGATGTTTGCGCTAATGAGTACTGTGCTAGTGTTATGTGGAATATAACTTTATTACCTTCTTGCATCTTCAAGGAATGTGCAGCCTATGAAATGGGTAATTCGATTAAGGGTTGTGTTACATCTTGTACAGGCTCTAGAATACTGCACAAGTAAAGGGCGTGCACTTTATCAAGACCTTAATGCTTACAGAATTTTGTTCCATCTTTTTGGTATCCTTTTTCTAAGTACTTTCTGATTGTATTTGTTTATTTTATATATTATAATTTGCAGGTTGGCAAGCCTAGAATATACACCTTTGGCCTGATGAAAAATAGTAGGGATGGGGGAAGAGTTATGGTACAAATCTGGCATTTACTTCTCCTGTACATCATGGGGAAAAAAACGGCGGTTGAATTTATGATTTACTTGACAAACATCCTTTAAGTATGCAGATCAGCAAACGTTATACACTGCACATCCCTTGTATTGCAGGGAGAGTAACACCAGAAAGTGTAATACACAGCTTTGGGAGACTCTTGATTGATCTTCTCATCATAAAGCATATTCCTCCTAGCCATGTAAGTGATTGTTCGAGTGGTGAGCAGGGGAAAAAGAAAAACCATTTGTGGGAAAAGATAAATGGGGAAACTCTTATAAGGATCTAACAATTATTTGTGAGGTAAGACGATGAGTCCTAAAACTGATTGAGTTGTAGCATTTGAAGTATTTGGACCTTTGGGATATTAACTTCATTGGGAGCAAAATTCTATATTTCATTGCTTCTCTTAAGTCTAAGGTATCTTAATCTCTTTTATGCTTCTTTTGGTGGTCAACTTCCAAGTCAAGTTGGAAAACTTAGTACTTGTATATTATGATCTTACAGGTAATGACATTACGAATGCTGAAAATCACAATTCATGGCTTCCTTGTATTTCTTATTTAACATATTTGGATTTGAGTTGGAGCAATCTCATTAATGGTTATGAATGGCTGGAAGCAACTAATAAACTCCAGATCTTAGGAACTTGGCATTGGCTGAATGCAGTCTTCCTTCTCTGATTACCATAAATTCTTCTAAATCTCTTGTTCGTGTTGTCTTTTCTGACAACCAATTAACTGGCTTAATTCCCAATGTCATTGGAAAGATGAGCTCTCTTGGATATCTAGATCTCTCTTTTATTTAACTAACCAATTTGAAGAGGGATTTTAGAAAGTCATTTCTGGCGACTCTCCAGATTAATACTTCCGTTTTTCTCCTCCAACTCACTAGCCTTAAGCTTTGGTTCTAATTGGATTCCTCCTTTCTAATTGCTTTACATAAATTTGAGGAGATTTTGACACCCTTTTGGAAAATGGGTTGAAAGATGGTTTTGGTGTTTTTTAGCCTGATCCAAATAACGTGAATTACGAGTACAAAACAGGCTTCTAAAACATAAACGGGTCAAACACTCAATGCGGATTTGTGTTGATTGTTGCTGCAGTCTTTGCGGATATTATCAATGTTTCGGAGAGATGAGTCATTGTCATATTACTAACCACTTGCAGAAAAGTAGCTGGTCCACTCACACATGTTCCATGCTTGACCATTTGAGTCAAAACGACCCAGTGATGTTGATAATTGATCGAGAAAAAGCCACTACTGATTGGTACCTCTGGTGTGAACTCTCTGTTTGCCTTGCCTACAATTGATCCTCCTTTCCCATTGCTTTATTATCTCGGGTGATTCAATTCACACGTTCATTTTTATCACTCACACGTTCCTCTTAATTTTCATAAGTTGGATCGAATAAATTAAAGAAAAACATAAGACATAAATTAACAAGAGGTGTGGAAGATGTAAACTTGGTTGGATGAATAGCAACATCCTTTTATCTTCTCACACACTTCTTTTTATTTTTATTTGTCTGATTGAATAAATAAAATAGAGATCAATGACAAAATTAAATAGGTGTGCTTGAAGCTTAGTTTTTTGTAGACTTGGATGCTCTTTAACACGATTGTTGTGTGTTGAAATCCCGGGCCACTTGTGTGGTGGGAAGTCAAGTCACACGTAAGAATAATACATGTGTCGCTTTTACCTGTTTCTTCCACACGTCTGGACTTTTGGAGTGTTCTGATTGCATTCCTCCTTTCCAGTTGGATTCCATGTATTTCTTCCACTTGTGGAGTTGTAATGATATTGACTGATTGAAACCCATTTCACCCGACTTTCCTTCTCATTACCTAACTTTCTTTTTCATTACTTTTTCATTACCTAACTTTCTTTTTCATACCTTGGCAGTGGAGAAGCTAGAAGGTGCAGCAATACGTCAAAGTCAAGTGAACAAGTGGCCACTCGAGTTGTTTGTAAGAGGCAACTTTATATGTGTACATATGTACACTTGTAGTGTTGCAATCTTCTTCCAAATTTCCAATAACATAGCCTAAATACTTTTTCTTCTTCATTGTTGTTGAGATGCGGGGCGAGGGCGAGGGAATTAGGTGCTTCAAACTATTCCATGCTTCAATATTTGCTGTGCTAATTTTGTTGCAATGTTGCAACCATTCCCTATCCCTTGATTTCAATAATATTTCTTCTGGAGTAGTTGGCCACTGGGATATTGCTAAGGTGCCCAAGGTGATCAGGTGCATACAGAGAGAAAAGGAAGCACTCCTTGCTTTCAAACGAGACGTCGTGGATAGCAACAATCGCCTCTCTTCGTGGGGAAGCGAAGCCCAAAAACAAGATTGTTGTGCATCATGGGAAGGAGTCTACTGCGACAAATATACCGGCCACGTTGTCAAACTTGATTTACATGGAGGATTTCTTCCTCTTGGTGGTCGATTATCAAGTCAGGTTGGAAACCTTACCCACTTGCAATATCTCGATCTCAGCTTCAATAAGTTTGCTAGTGTTGAAAATCTTAATTCATGGCTCCCTCGCCTTTCATCGTTAACCTATTTGGATCTCAGTTGGAGCAATCTCAGTAATTCTTATGACTGGCTGGAAGCTATTAAAATGCTCCCTAAACTTACAAACTTGTCATTGGCTGGATGTGGTCTTCCTTCTCCTCTTATTCATTCCAGTACTCTTTTTAACATAAATTCTTCAAAATCTCTTGCTCATGTTGAACTCTTTTCCAACCAACTTACTTCTTCAATATTTGTATGGTTGTCAAACTACAATGCCAGCCTTGTTCATCTTGACCTCTCTTTCAACCAATTAGTTGGTTCAATTCCCCATGTTTTAGGAAACATGAGCTCTCTTGTTCATCTTTACCTCTCTTACAACCAATTAGTTGGTTCAATTCCCTATGTTTTAGGAAACTTGAGCTCTCTTGCCATTCTTGATCTCTCTGGCAACCAAATTGAAGGAGGGATTCCGCAATCTTTTTCCAAGTTATGTAATCTGCAAAAATTGGACCTTTCTAACAACACTCTGAGTGGGCTTCAAATATCAATGTCTGCATGCCCTGATCAGAACTCATTAGAGATTTTGAACCTTGGAATGAATGCTCTGGAAGGGGTGGTTTCAGAAAGCCATTTCTCCAATCTCTCCAGATTAACATATTTGGATTTGTCCTCCAACTCACTAGCTTTAAGCTTCAATTCTAATTGGGTTCCTCCCTTCCAATTGGAAAGCATAGATTTGGGCTCTTGCAAGATGGGTCCACATTTTCCTAAATGGCTTCAAACTCAGAAAAATTATCAGGTTCTTGATATTTCTAATACAGGAATTTCTGATATCCTTCCAAGTTGGCTATGGGAAATGATGTCTCATTATACAGAAAAAACAGAGTATGTATATATAGATCTCTCCAACAACCAAATTAGAGGAATAATACCCAATTCAAGATTTGAGTTTCCCTCATCTTCCTTTACTGAAGTGAATTTGAGTAAGAATCAATTGGAAGGTCCAATCCCTTCGTTCCTTTCCAAAGCGTCATCGCTCGATCTCTCCAACAATAAGCTTTCAGGGTTAATTTCTTTCTTGTGCCCATACAAGGTTAGTAATTTAATCTATCTTGATCTCTCAAGCAACAATTTACACGTACAACTTCCTAATTGTTGGACAAATTTTGCAAAACTAGGCATTCTTGATTTGAGTAACAATGCTCTTTTTGGGAAAATTCCTACCACAATGGGCTCTTTATTTTCAATTCAAACATTGAAGCTGAATAAGAATAGATTTGTGGGAGAATTGCCTTCATCTTTGAAGAATTGTACAAGCCTCGTAGTCTTTGATGTTGGAGAAAATAATTTATCAGGAATGTTACCTGAATGGTTAGGGGTTGGACTTCCAATGTTGGCTATCCTTATTCTCCGTTCTAATCACTTTTATGGAAACATTCCCCTACAGTTATGTAATCTAAAACAAATTCAAATTCTAGATCTTTCGATAAACCATATCTCTGGAAGTATACCCAAATGCTTCAACAATTTGACTAAATTGACAGAAATAGGAAATTCAAATCTAACTGTCCATCTTGAGTATGGCGAGACCATGAGCAACGGTTACTGGAGCAGTATTTATGAAGATGAAGTATCCTTGATCTGGAAAGGCGTAATGTCCGAATACAAAAGTACTCTGGGGCTTGTCAAGAGTCTTCATCTATCGAGCAATCAGTTAACTGGGGAGATTCCTAATGAAATCGCTGATCTTGTTGGGTTAGTTTCTTTAAACTTGTCGAGAAACAATTTAACAGGTCAAATAACTCCAGAGATCGGGAAGTTGCAGTCATTAGATTCGCTTGATTTGTCAAACAACCAAATACATGGTACAATTCCAACAAGTCTCTTTCAAATATCTGGCCTTGGTAAGTTGGACCTGTCAAACAACAACTTGTTTGGAAGAATTCCAATGGGGACTCGGCTCCAAAACTATGAACCCTCTGCTTTTGCTGGGAATCCTCTACTTTGTGGAATTCCACTTCAACAGTTGTGCTCTCCCATGGAAACAAGTCCAGAGGAGCCACCCGTGTTCAGGGATCAAGTTGAAGACAATGATGGGTTTATAACACCGGGATTTTTTGTGAGTTTGGCGCTTGGGTTTGTTGTTGGATTTTGGGGAGTTTGTGGGAGTTTAATGTTCATCAGGTCATGGAGATACACATACTTCAAGTTCTTGAACTGTGTATACGACTGGCTTTATGTGAGGGTGGCGTTGATTAGGCGACGAAGAATTGTTTATGGGTAAATTGTAAGTACTCTTCCACATAACTATAGTGATGATATGGCATCATTGCTATCATGATTAATATGAATTTGGTCTGTCTAATTGTCTTTGAATTTGTAACTAATCTATGCTGTGGTTTTTCTCAATATTTTCAGCTCGTGCATCTACCGTTCGCAAGCCATGCTCCCCTTCAGCCGGAGAAGGAGATGGAAGAGTGCAATTAGAAGTTATGATTTGGTGAAAGTGTTGTGCTTGATTTAGGGGTGTGTTTGTTTTTGCAATTATGTTATTCAGATTATCTTTGAGGGGTTAATTAGGTCCCTTTAATCCCCTTTTACTTGGTGTTATCATTTTATCATTAAATTTTCTTGAGAAACTTGCAGAAACTTATTAATCAAGCAACAAAGAGAAAAGCAGACATATAGTTCAATAAAGATTTGATACATTAACCCTAAGAACATCCCAGCACCGGTCTTTCAATATCTTCGTTAAAAACCAAATCTTGACAAGATTAGATTCGGCCAGTGACCATCTAGTTTTTCTATATGTATAGCTGCGTTGTAATATCCGATCCTTTTTTTTTTTTTGGCTGCTTGCATTTATTATATAAAATCCTGCATCTTCAGTCGTTCATCAGTTATTTTGTTAGTTTGAAACCATGTTCGTTAGCGTCAAATTAAGACCAAGAAACACAATAACTTAGGGCAAATAAATCAAAAAAAGAACCACAACCAAACTAATAATCATGTACGTACAACAAAACAACTGTATTTATGCTTGTCTGGCCTCTCAAAATATAACCATTAGTTATATACACTCGTTATCATAGCCTATTAACCAAACATACAATAATTCCACTAGACAACATATTTCATAAATTGACTTTGTGATGCACCAAGGTATTGAAATCCTAGTGGAGAGCCCATCTAAGCTAATAAAAATAAGGAACTTTACCGAAAAACTCTACGTACTGTTCACTTTGACGGAAAAATCACATTTTTACCCTAAAAAGTCAATCTTGTACTATTCACTTTACCTTTTATTTTGTTCGTATCGTTAAAACTCAAAGTTTTCAAGTCATTTTCATTAGTTTTCATTGTATATCAAAACCACAATTTTCAAAAGTAATGCAATGAACCTGGGATGAAAGTTAGTCCCTTTGAAAGCAAGACAGTCAATGCACGCTTCAGTTGGTGGAATGTTATGGTCAAAAAGATAAATATTATTTGAACAAGTGGTTGGTGCAAAATCGTGGGGCTTGAGTTTGGGGCTACATCTAGCGTTTCTAATTCGTGCAATATTCTAATCTAATCTAAACGATGGGGAGGGGGATTCAAACTTTGGGGGCATGTTCAAGGGGAGCATACTGATTTAGCCAACTTGGCTACACCCAGGTATGTTGGGGCAACAAATGGCTTGAACTAGGGACATTTGTCAGATTTTGTATGAGACTGACTGTGTCTAGTTGCTTTTCTTACGAGCAGGGTGATTCAATGGACACTCGAGAATTGTCTTAGGGCACCCAAGAACGGTTTATGAACAACTAAGAATTTGTCTTCATAGTCGGGGGTCCACAAAATCACCCTTGTGCAAAAGCATATGTTTAGAGAGAGGAATATCCAAATTTTGGGGCTCATTGTTGATTGCTAATAGACTCTTCTGCAACTGGAGCTGCAATGGAAAGAAACATGGCAGCAGATGGCTCACCTTGGTCTAGGTTTGCACCTGAGCCTGCATGCATGCTTGACACCCCGCAACTGTTTTGAGTTGATGTCCTTGCAGATGACTTGTCTGATGTCAAGATAATAGTATCGTATATCCAGCGAAGATACTTCTCAGACAGCCCGTCTTTCTGGAACAAAATAACTGACATAAATTTCATTGAGAAGGGGAATGCAATGAAAGGCATGCACCATCTGTCTTTTTTCCAATTTCTTCCAAAGCAATTCGTTGAAAATATCACATGCTAAACCGATCACAATGTTACAATATGTCCATTGATCGCAATGTTATAACTCGAAATGACTCCTTTGTTATTCCATAGTCTGAACTGTTTCTTTGCTGCCATTAGCTCGAAATGACTCCTTTGTTATTCCGTAGTAGACTGGTTCTTCGCCTACAAAGGTAATGAAATTCCAGCCGAAAGCAGACCCACCAACAATATATGTCCCTTGAGTCTGACCATCTTCAGCCCGCTGCTTTTCGCTGGATACACCTGTTGGAAACTTATTTTCTGATGGCTTTGCAAAAGCCCTTGTATCTTGGGGCTTTTCACCTGGCACATTCTTACTTCTTGTTGCCGAAACTGTTTCTGCCGTCATCTGTTTGCATAGTTCCATTAGAAGTTTAACATCTGAAATTTGCAACATAAGCGATAATTAGCACATCTCATGATCACTAAGCAACATCTCAAGCAATTGGCCCCATCATACAAAGCCTTGAACTCTAAAGTGTCCAAAGGAATCCAAAAACTGGAGCATAGGCAGATATGGTGCTCAAGAAACTCAGAACAAAACCATGCGTCAATATAAGAAGATGAGTGAGACAAATATCTCCTCGTAAAGAAAGGAAAAGGTCAACTGAACGCCACTAACAGTATTCTAGGATTAGGCTGCCACCAATAAGACTATCAGAGACTCAGTTTCAAGGATGAAACTCGATATAATCATTTACACAAAGATTAATAAACCAAGCAAATGAATGAAAGTCAGATGTCATCATAACCACCACATTAATAAACTGCTTATTTTAAGATTAACAAATCAGCTCAGCTTTAGCATACAACTCAAGGGATAACTATTTGTCTGTGAAAAGATGAAAACAAAATCTAAATGAGCTTACATTCTTGAATTTCTTCAGATGACTTGCACGTTCGAAAGTCAGGGGTCCTGAGAACCTTCAAGATGACAAAAAAATAAGTTACTCCATGCATACTTCATATAATGTAGCAAACAAACGAAGCAGTTCAAAACAGCAGGATTTAGAGAAATTGATTGAGAGTGATTACATTGACAACCTTGATAGATGAAATCTGCGAACCAAGTGATTACATTGACATACAGATTACACAACGATATAGCATGCATTCAACACATTACACTTGGTCTGCAGCCTCAGATAATCAAACACTATCCGAAATGTAGCACATAAACACTAATTTTGACAGCTTCACTTGATACAAATTAGAAACACCTCAATTCACTTGAAAGCATAAATCACTTGCCTTCATTCTTCACCTTATCCCAAAAATGATTACTAATAGTTCAAATATTACAATTCTGCACCGAAAATATTAAACAACTCAATCATTAGATTCATGACCAACAGCCATTTCCATCAAAAACGTTATTTACACAATTTTTAAATGCATAGCTACTAAGGGCACCTAAAATGTAAGTACAAGGCAGCAGAGTTACATAGATTATACATTTATTTAATATTTTAAGAAAAGTGAAATCTTCAGAAATGTTAAAGACATGCCAATTATGAATCCAAACAAACCCAAAATCCACAATTCAATACAAAGAAAGCCCTCTGATATTAAAATTTAAAAAAAAAAAAAAAGAACAATAAAAGGAAAACCCAGATCACAAAAATCTTCAAAATTTACAAGAAATTCACATCAAAATGAAAATTTTGGGAAATGGGTTTTCAACTGTACCTCGAGAAAATGAGGGCGGACCTCTTTGAGGACGGCGCGAATCTTGTAGAGGGTGGATGAGTTGGAGAAATGGGCATCGTTTTCAAGAGGTCTCTTCTTGGACTTGGGAGGAAGAGAAGACGGAGGAGGCTGGGGAGGGAAGACTTCGGCGGAGCTCGGAGGGATTGGGAGGATTTCGGTGGCTGTGGACTCGGCTGGCTTTGGATCTTCTTCCATTAGTGCTGTGTGTCCGCGGAGTTCAGAGTACTATTGGGTTTTAAGTTGCATACAAGCGTGAGTGACAAAGGCTTGTGGTGTGTTTGGAAGTGTTTGGCTGTCAGTGTAAGCTTATGCGCTTAAAGCAGGACTAAATACAACCGTTACATTACGTTAGCATTGTGATTTTTGTACCTGTAACGTAAAGATATATGTAAATTTGTATCTACGTAGCGTTATACTAATTAGCACACCTGCTACACTCGTGTCATGTAAGTTTTTTTTTAGGAAAAATTAGAATGCCTACATCTTTTCTATAGTTATTAGATTAAACATTCATCCATTTTAAAGATTTGATTAAAGTATTTTGATCAATTGTCACCTCAATAATTTTTTATTTATTTAATTTCCATGTCATTAATTTAAATGCATTTATATAAAGGCACAAGGTAGCTTAGCAACTAATTACCTATAATATAGGAATTTAATTTCGAATCCCCTTCTAGGCATTAAATGATATTTTTTAATAAAATAAAATAAAAAATTAATTAACTAATTCCTCATTTCCTTATTATCAATATTTAAAAAAGAAATTCTCTTTCTATTAAAAATGTCTCAATAAAAGGTCTTCAATACATATTTTTTTCACGTATAGATATATAAAAAATATACTTAAAACTTATGGTACATTTGAGAACAAAAGTATCGACTTTTGGTACGTTTAGATTTCAAATGCACCGAGAAACCAAATGTACCAAAATTTCAAATGTACCATAAAACCAAATGTACCTATTGTTATGTAACTCTTTTGGTACATTTAGATTTCAAATATACAGAAAAACCAAATGTACCAAAATTTCAAATTTACCATAAAACCAAATGTGCCCATTGTCAGGTAACCCTTTTGGTACGTTTAGATTCCAAATGTACCAAAAGACCAAATGAACAAAAAATCCCAAATGTACCACAAAACCAAATATCTTTATCAGATAACCCTTTTTGGTATATTTACGTCCCAAATGTACCGAGAAATACAAAAAATTAATCCACTATAAAACTAAATGTGTCCATATTATAGGTAACTAGACATAGCTATATTATCACATCACGGTCCGGGGCCCACCACATCCCGGCCCCACTCCACCACCGTAGTACGATATTGTCCGCTTTAGGCCTTACCATTCCCTCACGGTTTTGTTTTTGGGAACTCATGAGTAACTTCCCAGTGGGTCACCCATCATGGGATTGATCTAGTCCATTTCTCGCTTAACTTCGGAGTTCCTACGGAACCCGAAGCCAGTGAGCTCCCAAAAGGCCTCATGCTAGGTAGGGATGAGAATATACATTTAAGGATCACTCTCATGGGCGATGTGGAATGTCACAATCCACCCCCCTTAGGGGCCCGACGTCCTTGTCGGCACACTACGGCCAAGGTTAGGCTCTGATACCAAATTGTCACATCCCGGCCCGGGGCCCACCACATCCCTAGCCCGCTTCACCACCATAGCACGATATTGTCCGCTTTAGGCTTTACCATTCCCTCACGGTTTTGTTTTTGGGAACTCACGAGCAACTTCCTAATGGGTCACCCATTATGGGATTGCTCTAGCCCCCTTCTCGCTTAACTTCGGAGTTCCTATGGAACCCGAAACCAGTGAGCTCCCAAAAGACCTCGTACTAGGTAGGGATGAGAATATACATTTAAGAATCACTCCCCTGGGCGATGTGGGATGTCACATATATAATCAAACAAATCTTTATTATGTGTTGGGTCTTCTAAATAATAAAATCTGACAATTTTTTTTTATAAATATTCTTCTATATTCACAAAAAAAAAAAGTAAAAATTATAACAAACAATAAAAAAATGCATAGAGATGGATAATAAATACATAAATATAGGGATAATAGGAAAAGAAAAAAGAAAAAAAAAACAAAATGTCCAGGAGAAGTCGTGAAAAACTAAAATTCTAAACAAAATTGAACTTATGTGAAAAACTGAAATTAATAACCAAAATTTTAAGAAAATGTTTGATCAAATTTTCAAAATGAGTGTATGTTTAATCTAAAAAATTAAAAAACAAGGCGCCTATATCAAAACCCCCCTTTTATTTATTTTCAGAAACAATTGTGATAAATAGCAAACCAAATGGTATTTTCTCATATTTTACTAAGACCAACTCCAATGGTTGAAGTTAAAACTTAAATCTTTAGCTTACAAAATTTAGGTTTTAACTCAAAAATATTTTTTTTTCTCTAATGATTTTGGCTTAATATTTGAGCCCAAATTATTGAAGAATGAATTTAGACTAAATTTTGGTAACTTTTTTTATAAATAAAATTTATGTGTATTATTCTAATTTATTTTTATAAAAATTTTAACATAAAAATATTTTCATTCTGATAAGTAATGAAAAATCATTAAATATGCTTCAAATTTGGATGAATTTTGATTTAAATAATTTTTTTTGGATTTAATCTTAGATCGCATATTTTATTTTATCGATAGATTTAATTATATTCGACCTTAGCGGTTGGATCTAATGTATTTATAAATTATATTGAATAAAAAAAGTTTGAATTTGTGTTGTTGGATCAACCAACAACCCAATCTTTACAAGCAACGGATTACAAAATAGTCGTTGGAATGGAATAGTATAAGGTGGCATACAAAGCTGTTAGCATCATGAGAGCCCGCCACTAACTTGGCTTATTTTGTCATTTTTGAGCTAAATCTGCCCAAATTTTAGGTTTTATCACAAACACAAATTGTAGCCCAATTGTTTTGGAGAAGATTGGGGGTGTTTAAAATCTAAAATTATAAGTTTTAATCCGACCATTGAAGTTAGTCTAAATGGTAATTATAAATATTTTTTTCGATGAAAAAAATACTTATATTAAATAAAGTTACTATGATCACAACCAGTTCTGATAAAATAGGTCTTGAAGGCCACAAATGGTAATTGCCTATCCCAAACATGAAGAATATTAAATTAAATAATTGCATCTGCTAGAAAGTTTGCTTCTCTAAAAACGTGGGCTAACGAGAATAAATCAAAAGAGGTCGTCAAACTTTTGATGTCTTCAACAATAATCTTTAAGCGCCAAGGAGCACTACATGATCCTAATTCCTAATCTAGCGTCAATCACTAATTTTTTTATTTATTTTTTATATCTTCAGTTTCCACATTTTCTTCAAAAATCAAATTTCAAGTTATCATTATTTACATTATTTTGGATCCGAGTCACAAATTTAACAATAAATCTTTCACCGACATTCAAGCCCCAACAAATATGGGTCCAAAATGTTTTGACCATTTATGACAACTCGTAGAATGATATTTCAGTCAAGTAGATGGATTACGCCCTTCCATTTCATTTCCTCCTTTTTCCAGTTCCCTATATTTCTGTCTCCTTTAAGTCATAATCTTAAGAAGAAGAAAAAAAAGAGCTCAATAACAATTCATGATTTTGCAATCAATTTACTTCAGAAGAGCTCAACACCAATTTATACAATTTGGTTGCTAAATGAGCAATTGATAGGTTGATGAAATGTGGAGTTTCCTCAAAATCCAAGCCAACTAGTATCTCGGGTGGGGGAGTGGGGCAAAGCCTCACACTCGGTTAGCCATAATAATGTGGTTCAAATTTGCCATTAGTAAGAATCGAATCTAAGACTTCTCATTTACAAGTGAAAAAGAATACCACTAGACCATAATATTAAGTGATCAAAGTATATCACTTTTAAACACACTTAACAACCTTTAATCGTGATTGTGCTCTCATCATTTTGTCCTTATTAAACACATTTTTTAAAATTTGAGAACTAATAACTTGGAATGAAAATACATTAAGGATCAAGGGGCATTTTCTCTAAATCCTTGACTAATATTTTTTAGCACAAAATCTAATATGGTTTAGGAGGCACTTGATACAATTATTGATTTTTGTAGTAAAACTATGTAATATTTTAGTGAAAGAAAGTCCTTCTTCTTTGATTGAAATTTCCAACAAGATTTTATGCTTTATTTCATAAATATCGGACTTTTGCTATACATATAGAACAATATTTGGCTACTCAAACATGAGTAAGAACTCCTATTCAAAATCTCTCAAAATTGTTCATTGTCAATTTATAAAACTTCATGTTTATAATCAGAACCGTTCATATTATAAATCGTGTAACGACCCGTTCCAAAAAGTTACAGTCTTAATAATTTTAATAAGTGAATTTACGAAAATGCCCTTCGAGGCAAAGTGTTGACTTTTGTTGACTACCATGTCGTGTCATGTAAGACTCGTTTTCTTGCCATATTCTTGTAGTACTCGTCACTATGGAAGCGTGGGTGCAAACAGAGCACAATTTGGAGTTATAACGAAGGAGTTATTAACGAATGAAGTCGAGGGTAAAATTGTAAATTTATTATTTTCTAGAATACTCCAGACTTTTGGAGTAAAATCTGGTGGAGCCACGTGTGTGGCCCAAATTTAAAGAAGAAAAGATGGGCGGTGGAGATAGGCTCTAAAGGAGAGAAAGGAAGGGCATGTGAAGCCAATCGGGAGAAGAGAGAGATGAGGAGTGACCAATAGAGAAAGAAGAAATGAGGGGAAAGGAGAAGGGTGAGAAGCACGGGATCATGGATCCCTTATAGGTTCTCCACGACCCGACCTACGAAAACTGTGAAACACGATGGGTTTCGATGGTTTTCCGGCCAATTTCCGACGATTTACACCGAGTTATCACCTGGGAACTTCTCACCAGCCTTTCTTCTTCGATTTTCCACACAAATTAGATAAGATTTGATCTTGGTTTCGTGAGAATGGCACTGTGGTGTTCTTGGTGGCAATTCGCCAATTTTTTAAGCAAATTCCTTCGATCTCTACCACCATTAGACTCTCCTTGAACCCAGAAACAAAGCCCAATCAACCTTGGAGGCATCGGAGCTTGTTTGGAGTTGAATCAAGAACACCCATTTCAAGGGTTTCTGGCGGATCGAGGTGGATTTTAAGGTATTTTCCAGCCAAATTGACCTTAGTCACAAGTATGAAAGTTGGTCAACTCACTGAGATCTTCATTTATGTGAAGTTTGAGAATTTTTAGAAATAGTTGAATTTTTCAGCAAGTCGGGGCAGCCGACCGTCACCTGCGGCGGCGCATTGGACGAGATGTCCCCTGACCTTCCTAGGCTAAATTTGAATAGCCTAATTCCATTGGTGAAGTCCGATTGATGAATTTCCGTCATTTGAACGTAGTTCCATTAAGGTCTACCGTTTGATTATTATAGCAATCAACAATCCGACCGTTGGATCGTCACCAAACTTTGAAACGTTATAATACGTAATATTTAGGGATATTAGAAACTTGCAGATTGGGAATCCGACTAACGGATTTTCCCGAATAGGATATGTAAGTTACATGTTCTATTGATAATAATTCTAAGACATGATTTGATAATTATTCCAGGCATCGATCGTTCGTGACGCCTTGATGTTTGTGCTAGGGAGTTGTAGCGCGGACTCCAAATGAGTGGGTTTTTGGTTTTCTATATATACGTATATGTTTTCCATTTTCCCGGAAATGGTTTTAAATGGATTTACGTTTTTAAATGCCATGTCAATTGCATTACATTTTAGTGTATGCATTAGTATAGATATGCATATTATTGCATGATGCTGCGGACGCCCAGGTAAGCTTCAGGTGAATGCATATTGATGTTAGTGATTGTTGTGTGTATGGTTATGTTTAGATGCATTTAGTGCTCATTATTCTGCACTCTGGTGTTAGTGCTCCGCCCAAGGCTAGGTCCAGCCTTCACGTGATCGTTCTCCTCCCGCACCGTACGCTCACCTTGGATCCAAGGCAGGTGCCAGCCTGTCGTACAGATCACATTAGGTGGTTCCAACTCGTAGGTGACTTGTGATACTTCGCACAACCTTCACATGATCATAGCACTTGTGCGTATTTATTTACACCCAGCCTGTCGTATAGACCACATTAGGTGGTTCCGACTCGTGTGCAAGAATTGCTTAATGAGTTATAGGTTCAGCCGTACAGGTCACGTTAGGTGACTCCGGCTGGCATATCATTTTACATTGATTTATTTCACCTGGCTTACTTATTTTATTGTTGAGATACTTGACATTGCATATACTTGGTTTTCACTACTCTCGAGCATGATTTCTTTATACATATGTATTATCATTTTCAGGTCTACTCACCTTTGTTTTGCGCACTTCTAGGTTTTAGCTACCGAAAGTTCGTATCGACGAGGATTCGTGGCGAATCTCTATATAGGTGGCTACCTATGAGGGTATGATCCTTACCCATACTACTGTACTTTACTTATGCTCTGACGTTGCGTGTGAAATAGGCTCATTCTCGCTCACAACACACTCTTGTCTTTAGGCACTTTTAGGTTTAAATTTAATCACATTTTCCACATCACCATACTTTATGACTTTGTCACCTTCTAGGTGTCGGCCAGCACAGCTCGATTTAGAGTCCTAGTGGACATTTCGGGTCGGGGTGTGTCAAATCGCCCTATAAAGATCGCCTTTGCAAAAAATCAATTAAAACTAAGAACGTTTAGTCATCAAACTGTTTAAAAACAAATGAACGACATTGGTTTTATGAACCGTCTATGTATTTGCTACAATAGATTGACTAAACGATCTTAATTTTAATTTATTTTTTGCAGAGATGATCTTTACATTGTGATTCATAGTATGAACACTTCTGATGATAAGCACAAGCTCTGTGCTTAAACACTAAGAGTTTTGAGTAGGAGTTCCTACTCATTTTTAAGTAGCCAAACATTTTTCATAAGAGTAGGAACTCTTACTCAAAACTCTTCGTATTCGAATCACATAGCCTTGTACTTATGATTCATATTATGAATCACTTTGTAAAGATCGTCTCTGCAAAAAACGAATTAAAACTAAGGTCGTTTAGTTCATCTATTGTAGCAAATCCATGGACGGTTCGTAATGCTCTTATCAATTCCGTTCATCTGTTTTTATACAATTCGATGACTAAACGACCTTAATTTTAATTGATTTTTTTTACAGAGATGATCTTTATGACGTGATTTATAATATAAACAATTCTGATCATATACATGGAGTTATATGAATCGACAACGAATACTTTTGAGTTAGGAACTCCTACTTATCATTTGAGTAGCCAAATATTATTCTATGTTTGATATATATATATAAAAAAATTAAAATAAATAAATAAATAAATAAATAACCCCATTTTGCTTCCAATTCCTTGTACTTTCTTCCCTTCTCAAAAAATGAAAAACCCTCACTTTCTCTAAAACCAACTCTCAAAAGCCTCCACTTTAAACCAATCTTTCCAGAGAATCCGAGAGAAAGCGAAAGCAAAAGGATATGAACTCAAAAACCGAAAGGCTGGTGAGGAGGACGACCATGGTGGCCACTGTCACTGCTGCCTATTTCCTCTTGACTGCTGATTACGGCTCCGAGCCCAACGCTCTCGACCCTGTAAGTTCCTTTTTCTTCCCGCAATTTCATATTCTGTAATCAAACTTTGATATTGTTGCGAAAAGGGTAGGGAGAAAAGGAATAACTAGTCTTTGGGTTGTGATTTAACTTCTCAGATGTGTAATTTTAGTTCACAAATGTGGGGGTCTTTCGATTTCGGGTTCGATTTACAGTTGCTTGTTGTAGAATGAATTGTGGGTTATGGAATTGGACTAATTGGGTTTTTTGTTTTTTTGTTTTTTTGGCTCTGCGTCGATTTTGTTCATATCTTTTTAGCAAAATGATAATGTGAGTGAGATTTTGGGTAGTTTTCTGCTTGTATAGTTACCCCTCTTTGCTTGCAAATTTTTTAGTATTTGATTGCTCAAGATACTAAGAGTGATTTTTCTGTCATTGAGATTCGATCGTTTATGATGAAAATGGTATCGTAAAAAGCTTCAGAAAATGCGACCTAGGAATGGTATTGGTCTGCTATGCTGTGTAGATTATCGAGCACTTCCTTTTTTCTTCCCTGAATGTAGAGAGGAGCGTTTTAATCAGTTAGGAACGACTTGGTTGGCGATTAGAAGAACTATAGGATGCTAAAACGGATAAGCGGTCGATTTTGTGGAGATAGAAACTGGTGGTGTCATGAAAAAGTCACCTCTTCTTATCCAAAGTGAGAGGATATAACGTGAAATGTTTAAGCATAGAAAGATTGGGGGTTGCAGGGAGATCAAAAAGAGTTTAAAGTTAAAAGTAACAGCCAGAATATCTGATAAAGACCGTCAGTAGTCCGTAAGCTTTCGGGGTTGCCAAAACTGTTTTTTATAGGCATACGAACTTTACTATGTCTTGCACATCAATGAAGGCATTTGCGCATGGAACTGTTACCCAACTCTAAAATACCATGCCTGCTAGACTAATGAATTGCTTAAAAACCTTGTTATTCCGTCATTAGTAATTAGTGATTGTCATTGGCTGTATATTTGAGGTCTAATTGCACCAATTTGTGATGGCAGATTAAGAAAGCTATACAGTCTGCAGAAGGTTCTGTGAAAGACTTCATTTTCGGATCAAAGAGTCCACCTCAGGAAAGCAAAATCGAGAAGCTGGGCGCTGCTGATGCAAAGGACCGTCCTTAGTTTAATAGGCAGCTGATTATGAATAGAAAGATCGTCGGTCTGAGAATGATGTTACAGTTGTGTTAAGTTTCTGTGGGGTGATATTTGGACCTTGTGTACCTTTTGCAGAAAGATAGTTTCATGCTTGGTTTTATGTATGATATTCTCCTTGCTGCTGATATAGAACTCAACTCAGTGCGGATATGATTATGATGTTCACTATATTACGCGTTATAAGTCATACGATCCCGGGTTGTAGGACCCAATTGTCCAACATCGGAGAAATGGATTATTGTGGAGTGGTTAAGAGCTCTTAGCACCCATTCCTTACGAGCTGGTTTTAGGTGCAAATTTTACCCACACTCCGAAGAATTGGTATCAGAGCCAGGTTTCAATATGCACCTGGCCTCAAACTCCGCAGGAAGGAGCAAAGGGCTACCTTAGGGAAAGTGCCAGTAAAGTGGTGCAGCGAGGGCGTTGGGTACAAAAGCGAGTGGAATGTTAGGACTCAATTTGTCGCACCTCGGAACAATATGATATCTTGGAGTGATGGAAGAGTTCTTAGGCACCCTCGCATTACGTGCCGGTTTTCAGTGACAGATTTTAGCTTCTTAAAGAGTTAGTTTGGTATTGCTGCGTTTTTTAAAAGAACTATTATGCTGTGTTGTAATAATAAATATATGTAAAATAAAGTTGTAGAATGTTTGATGAACATTTTTTGTGAAAGTGTTTATAACCAAAAAAAAAAAAAAATGTGTATAATTGTTTGGTAAATTTTTATATAAAATTCATGTGAATATGTCAAGTGACTAAAAAAGATATGATATTTAATACGATATAATAATTGCCAAAGAGAATATTGTACGAGCAAAGATTGTCATTTTGTAAAATATGCAGAGCTATTCTTATCATTTGAAAATTTCATTAGATGGGCACTGTTCACCATGCTTTGAAAAAAAAAAAAAAAAAACAATTTTGTTAGAAGCATGGTAAACCTTTCTTCTGTTTTTCTATACTTTTCTATTGTCATTAATAGTAATTTTTTATATAAGCACTTTTTTTTTTTTTTTTTTTACCAGACATATTTTCAAATTTTTTAATAAGCTAATATCTGTGGCAATTTGACAGACGGTGCAGATGAGCCTGTCAACCTTCTTGAGTCCCACCAGCATCCCCCCGTCCTAACTAAAGCATCAAATTTTTAGTCCAACTAAAATTTGAAAATGTGGAAAAACCTCCTTCACACATAACCGTTATTTAACTAACTCATCCACTCCCTCCCTCCCTCCCTCCCTCTCCAACTAAAACTCCCTCACTCTGTGAAACCATAACATGCCCCTTCCTTCTTCCCTCTCCCTCCAAACCCTAGCTCCTCCAAATGCTGACACAATCCAGAAACCCCATCAAACTCTCCCCCAAAATCTTACTCTCTTCCAACTTGTCCACCCCCAACACTTTTCCACATTACAATTTCAAAACCTTCCCTCCAGAGCAAAACCCTCAAGTTCAAGCTCCTCTGCTCACAATCCCCAACCCCAAACCCTTCACCGCCATCATCTTCCTCTCCAGTCCAAACCCTAATCTCAATACTGCAAATCATACCCGACTGGGCAGACCGCACGCAAGAGCGTGGAATGAGACAGCACAGAACACTTTATGACCATGAGAAATGGATGCATCACAGAAGCTCCTACCGCCATCTCCTGCACTTGCTCTCAAGCCTTTCGTCAAGAGTCATCTTGTCTTTGATACCGCCGGTGATTGCTTTTACTTTGGTAGCTGTGGTGATTGCTAGCTATAATACAGCAGTTGCGTTGGATTTGCTTCCGGGAATTTTCCCGTTGTTGAGGTCCTCATCATTGCCATACCAGCTCACAGCGCCGGCATTGGCGTTGTTGCTGGTGTTCAGGACAGAGGCTTCGTATTCGAGGTTTGAAGAAGGGAGGAAGGCTTGGACTGAGGTGATTGCAGGGGTTAATGATTTCGCAAGGCAGATCATTTCTAGTGTTGAGACTTCGGGTGATGCACAACTCAAGAAGGCACTTTTGCAGTATATTGTGGCCTTCCCTGTTGCACTGAAGGTTTGTGGCTTTCGGATTTGAAATGTAGTCTTGTTAGAAGCTTTGCATGCCTTATTGTATTCTATTTGGTTGTATTATACTTTTAACAGGTTGTAAATTACTGAGAAAAAGATGAGAGCACACGAAATTGGTCATTGAAAAGTAATCCCAAAGTGAATGTGCAATCGGTAAAGAAATGCTCAGTTAACTATAACATGAGCTAGAGCCTTACCTTTTGTTTCGTTGATTTTTCCAAGCTGAAGAAAAACATGATTCTGTTTCTTGTTCATTCTTTGAAGCTGTTGTTTGTTAAGATTGATATTGGTAACGCAATCATTTGATAGAGGTTAACTTTTAAGTGCAGTGTCATGTCATTTATGGCTCAGATATTGGACGAGACCTCCAAAATTTGCTTGAAGTAGATGATCTGCTAGTAGTTTTGAACTCAAAACATCGACCTGGCTGCATTATTCAGTTCATCTCCCGGAGCCTTCAATTGCTAAAGTTGGAGGAATCAAAGAGAATTATGTTGGTAATCCCTTCCCTTCCTTGATTAATAAGTAGTCTCAGATTACTATTTTACTTGATATTTTTTTTTCTCATGATCTTTCTGGTGCATAAGTTCAATCAAAATTACTAGTGACATGGTTTCTTGAATAAATTTACAGTAAACAGTTGGCAGGTGTAAATCAGTATTATTTCATTCTTAAACAATCTGCAATCAAACATCATGCCGACGAAGAAACTTAATCAGTATCTTACCTTATCATTATGCAGCAATCAAAGATCTCTTGTTTCCATGAAGGAATTGGCGTATGTGAACAGCTAATTGGTACTCCCATCCCTCTGTCTTATACGCGCTTGACCTCAAGGTTTCTAGTCCTCTGGCATCTCACTCTCCCTATTATACTATGGGATGATTGCCACTGGATTGTGGTTCCCGCTACTTTTATCAGTGCAGCTTCACTGTTCTGCATCGAACAAGTGTGTTCCTTTCTGTCCCTGCTATGTTATGTTCCCTTTTTAGTGCTGCATATTTCATATTTCTTCCTTTAGAAAAGCCATTCTTTGTATAAACGGAATGGGACCAATGGTGTCCAACAATGGTTTTGATGAGACTGTAACTGAGGTCTCAAACAGATTTCCTGTGACCTCATATATGTTTCACTCTTAAACTATCAATCGTTACTTCATATATGTTTCATTCTGGAACACCGGCTTTTACTGCTGTAATACGTCTAGTCTTGTACTGTTTCATTCTCCAAAAAGGTTAATGAACTGGATTCTTGAATGCTGATGGCAGAAGATTCGAAAGAATCGTATCTGCTACTGTGATATGAGTTGCCTCTGCCTGATCACTTCTATGGGTATGCTACCCTAAACTTCCGACTGCATTTCCACCTGAAATGAAATATTAATGCCACTCGTGTTCATTTTCCAAATTCTGCAGGTGGGTGTTCTGATTGAGGAGCCATTTCCAATGCTTGCCCTTGACGACCTTTGCAACTCAGTTCGAAACAATGTACAGGAGGCCCTTGCAAGCGAAAAACTAATCCGCGCACGGCTTGCTGCAAAAGGAAGGATCCAGTCTGAGCAGCAGTTTCAAAATGGGCAGCCTAGGCCTTAAGTCTTAGATGGATCAGAAAGTCAGCTGCAATTATCTTCACAAACGTTATACAGGCACCGAAACATAACTCCGCGAGTCTGCAGACCTACGAGTTTCTTGCACCTTACGCCATCTATACGATGATTGAGCCTCGAGGTTGAAATTTGTAAATATAGAAATTATGAGAACCAAGGAACCTTATTAGTTTTGTCTGTTCCAACACAAGATTATGTTTCATGTGTGTATATATATCATCATGTCATACTTTGGCTCTTCTTCATTTTTGAAAACATGACACAAAACCGAGTGCAGTGATATTTTAGGATTCATATAGCTGACCACACTTAGTGATATTAGGCTTTGTTGTTGTTGTGGTTGTTGTATGTAGATAGTTGGCCTCCCAATTCCACTGTAAATGATGAAGGAAAGAAATACGTTCTTTAACCTCGTTGCAAGTTTTGATGGATCACATCACATGAAGAAATTGACTACAGATCCTGTTTCGTTTTGTTCTCTAAACTTTCAATTTGGTTATGAGCACCTTTAAATTTTCAAGTTGTGTCGACGTCTCTCAACTGCCAGCTTTATCAATTATTTTGTTAGACTGAGTCCATTTTGTCCAATAGAAGCCTATGAATTTCAATTCATCTTAAAACTTTATAATAAACAAAAAATAAATAAATAATAGAAATGTCTGAGCCCGGGTTCGAACCGGGGACCTCTAGTGTGTGAGACTAGCGTGATAACCGACTACACCACCCAGAGGTATTATTGATTGCCTTCAAACAGAAATATATAATGTTTGATACTATTTGAAAGACAGAAAACCTGGTTCCAAGTTCCAACCAATATTCACCAAAACATTCAAAATGGTAGCTGCTAATCTTGTAAACAAGTTTATACAGAAAATACCACTTGCATACACATACACATACACACAAAAAAGAAGGATGGGCTTTCTTGACATGTATAAGGGCTCTTTTGGATGTGCTTTTAAAATAACTGAAATCGTTTTTAAAGAAAATGTTTTTGGATTTCAAAAGCACTTTAAGTGCTTTCTACAAGAAGCACCAGTTATGGGCTCCTTCCAGGAAGCACTTTAAGTGCTTTTCCAGGATTTACTAACATTTTAATTAAGGATTGTTTCCAAAAATATTTTCAGTAGAAGCTCTTTCAATCATTTTAAAATCATATCCAAATGAGTCCTAAGACTTCCATAGATCCATCTTTAGGAAATGACACAAACACCGCTACACGTACCCATTTTCCTCTTGTTCTTTAACTGATCCTGAATCTCCTCCAGCTTCACAATAATCTCTCCAAACGTCGGCCGGCAATCTGGATTCTGGTGCCAGCATTCTTTCAGAAGCCTACATCATACAATTAAAACGCTTAATTTCATAGTTGATTATCCTCACGTAATAGCAGAAGCAATTTTTTTTTTTTTTTAAAAGGACGACAATACCGAAGGAGCCCTAAACTTACTAGGTTTAGTTGCTAAATCTTGCTCGCATTGGTGGATTGAGTTTAGTTTTAGATGCAAGTTTGGAAACAAATTCGAGAGCGATGAGTTCTTAAGCGAACAATTTGTGCATGCAGACATACTTTTTAACCGCATTTTCTTAGCACCAGAAACTATACAAGTTTATATCTGTAAGGTTTATTCTAATGGTTGTTAAAGAATCTGCTATGGCGAAATATTCAACTAGTCCAAGAACACTCACGTCCTGATTGGCTCGGGGTACAAATAAGAGTAGAGAGGTGGTCGAGAATCCTCGTATGCGCGCTTGTCTGCAATTTTTTCTGGATCCTCTGCCAGATTAGGTGGTCCTCCAAGAAACATCTATAACAAAAAAAACATAACTACGTATGACATTCTGAAAGGGCAACCTCGATATACCAGAAATAACGTTCATGTTTGTTAGAAAGGCTTACTTGAGACACAAGTTTATAAGCTCACCTCATGGACTATGAGAGCGAATGAGAAGATATCAATACTCGTTCCATATGATTCTCGACGATAAACCTCGGGTGCCATATAACGATCTAGCAATTATGATAAGAGCATATCAGAACAAGTACCAAAATATCCAGGGATACTTGATTTTGAGCAAAAAGACAGTGTCTTACATGAACCTGTTCGTCCAGTCATTTTATAGCCGGATAAATCATTTTCCTGTGCAATTTTACTTAAGCCAAAATCCGTGACCTTGAGGCGCCCGGCTTCATCTTGTAAAACATTTCTATAGAACAAAGAAGAAGAATTAGCAGAGCAAATTCCGTAGGTCTGTAAGTCGTGTATTTTGACTAAAATGCATTTACAATTTTTTCGAGCTGTACCTTGGTGTCAAATCTCGATGAATTATAGGGCGCGGTTTATGCTGATGAAGATAATTCATGCCTCTGTAATGCAAAGTTACTCATTGTAAGTATGCATTATATGATCAATAGGTTTCCACAATCACTTATATTACATCAACACCGGTGAATCACAGTACAAGATGGAAAATTATATTACAGAAGCACATATCAGTAGTATATAAGCGCGTACCTGGCGATATCTAGAGCAAAAGAAACTACAGTTTGTAGATCAAGTCTTCCTTTTCTCTTCAATATATCATGCAAACTTCCCTGGTGCATTCACATTGGTGTAAGAAACATGAACATGAATTTCGAAGGAAAGAAGTAAAAAGATTGAATTACTAACATTGCAAAGATACTCGGTAAGGAAGATCAAGCGGCTAGGGTGCTTCAAAACACCAAGGAATTGCACGATATTAGGGTGGCGCAACTTTTGCCACAAAGCGAGTTCCTTCATAAAGATATTCCTGTATTCAGAAAAGTTAGTTCAACTTTCTTGAATCAAAAAATAAAGATAAACAGAAACTTACAACTCTCTGAAGCTTTATACCGAATTTATACTCATTATAAGCTTATGGATGACTTATTTTTACTTTAACTGATCTAGTTATTTTGGCTTCTACAAGATGAAAACAAACAATCAGATCAAAGATATGCATAAATAGAGAAACTCACTTCACTATCGGATTGGAAGCAATGGACGAGCGGATTGTTTTAGCAGCAACTTCTGTACCGCGCCACCTCACTAAATAAATCTCACCATATGAACCCTGCATTGCTATGTAATTTAAGTAAATGCAGTATTGCGAATGGGATATAAAACCAAGAATGTGTAGGTCCAGAGGTTAGATATTTCACATATATGTCCCTATTGAACAAAGTTAGAACAGAAAATGCGCTGAAGTCGATTCACATTGACTACTGCCAGAAGAAATTGAATTAACAAAATTTACCTCTCCAATAAGTGCTGCTTCGTCCATGTTCACCTCTCTGTGATCAACTTCATAGCATGGAAGCTGGGAATCAAGCCCTACCTTTAACATATAAACATTTTCCATTAAGTTCGTATGTTCAATACGTAAGAATGCCTATATACTAATAATTTCAAAAGAAATGCAGTTTGCAGACTACATGGAAAACAAAAAAGTTGGTCATCTGTTAATCTTGACAAGATAAGAGTATGAATTAGGAAAGTTAATTACTGGATCTATTCCACCCTTAGCCTCCAATATCTTGCAAATCGCCTCGTGACTGAAGCTACGAGCATCTGATAGTGGCTGCAAAAGATCACTCATATCAGCAAATGCCTCAAACCATTGGTATTAATTGGACAACAGAGAGATTCTGTTACAAGGGAAAAACCATAAAAAGATATTTGCAACATCCGCAAAGAGAAAATATAATTTTTCTTTTGATCATATTCTTTGTTCCTTTATTTTGATCATACAGTCTTAACCAAACAAATTATGACAATCTATATATATATATATATGGTGATCCTATGTCTTAGAAAATGCTTCAGTACTTGTTATGAGCCAAATTGAAAAAATTCGCACATCAATGGCGAAAACACAGTTGAACTTACAGTGCGGCCCCAGCGATCTGTGGAGTTCACATCAGCACCTTTCTGAAGAAGCAGAACAACAATCTCAGTGCAGCCTTCACAGGATGCCAAGTGAAGAGCTGTTCTCTTATCATAGTCAGCTAAATCCGGCTCCACCCCTTTCTCTAGCTCGCGCATCACTCCTGCTTTGTCTCCCTTGCTCGAACAATATAGCAGCCGGTATGGACCTTCAAATCCAGCCACCTTTTGAGACTTCTGCAAGTTGCAGCAGCAAGTAATGTTTTCAACATTTTTCTTACAATTGTTAGTGTTTAAAATCCATGCACCAATAAAAAAAAAAAAATTTGCTCACCAAAATAAAAGTTCACAGGTTCCTATCAGAAATCTGTTAAATTTCAGTTGGCTTTCAGATTTTAATCCATCCCTCTATTTGTTTTCTTGGAAAATGAACGAGACTAAAACTAAAAACTAAAAACAAAATATTTTAAGAAACAATAAATTGAAAAAAAAAAAACCTGTTAGAGTGATGTGAAAAGATGAGAATCAGGATTACCTTAGATGATGACAAGCAATCTTCCATGGGATGAAGTTAGAAAACCCTGAAAGCAATTGGAAAATAGAGTGTGATTTTTTTTTTTAATTTTCGTTCAAGGAAATTATAGGTTGGATTAGAGATAATGCAACTGATTAATTAGTACGTTTGAAATGCATGTCAACACTTACGATGTTTCGGAGTCCTCGAGGTATGTTAAATGTCTGTTTATGAGGTTTTAGAACGAAAGGGCTGGAGAGCAACCTCGTACTCTTCGCTCAGTTAAAGTTTGGATTTGATTGACTTCTTGTTTGGTTACTGAGAAAGTTGAATAGGAAAATAGTGTACTTTTCTTGGCCGATCTTCCCATGGTTTCTGTCAGAAGACAATTGGATCAGTGAGGTCCAGAGTTGCCAAAAGAAAATTCATACAATGTATTTTGTGTATAATATACATTTTCAAGGACGGCAAATACTAAGATGTCTACATTCTCTACAATTGTATCTTCTTCAACGTATTATATACGTTGTCTTTTTGGTTAGACTCAACCGTTGACATTGCCAATATATTCATACATCAATTAAACCAAATCGATCCAGCCGTTCATTGGACAATGTATATACAACATGTTTACTTTATTTTTTGAATAACGATGTTATTTACACTAGGGGTTAGGGAATGGATTAAGACTTACAATGAGCTAGCAATAATGTGGTTCAAATTCGTCTTTGGCGATAATCAAACTTAAGACCTCTCACTTATAAGTGAAGAGGAATAGGGGTGAGTTCAAAAAACCGAAAACCGAACCGAAACAAAAAAAAAAAACCGAACTGAATCAATATCCTTTGGTGTGTTTTTAGTTTCTGAGGTTCAGAAACTGAATCGAACCGAATTATTATATATTTATTTATTTATTTATATTTTGTTAAGCCCAATTCCCACCACAATTCCAAGCCCAATTCCAACCCAATTATAAGCCCAATTATATACCCTAGCACTGTCCCCTTTTGTTTTTTTTTTTACTCAGAGAGCCACATGCCTTCCTTTCTCCTCCTCTCCATCTTTATTTCTATTTTTTTTGTCCATCTTTCTTCTTCTTTTCTTTCTCCCAGACCTCAGCCGCATCTTCTTCTCTCCCTCTTCTTCCTTTTTTTTCTTCCTCTTCTTTCACCATAGACCCCACAACTTCTTTCTTCTCACCCCAATTTCGAATCACACCCACAAACTTCATCCTCCCCGGAATTCCAGAGCTTTATTTGTACACGTCCTGCTTGATCTCCAGCAAATTAACTCTATATGTAGCTCCCAACGCCGCCGCCATAGCCGAGTTCACCAAGCCTGCCATAGCCCGAGTCTACCAAGTGGTGCCTCGCAAATTTATTCAGAGATTTATATGTGGAATTTGAATTTGGATTTCTCAAAATTTCATATGATTTTAGGTCTTGCTAATCGAAATTTATGCATGCATGCATGCTTAGATTTGTGGAAAATTAATGTAGGGGCCCATAAATTTTTATTTCCAAAACTAATTACGGTGATAGGCCAAATTAAACTCTTGTTTATTTACTACCATTAATCACAATTTCTTTAATAAATTCTTAATTCCTCACAAATTTTATAGCTAAATATATTTAACAAAAACATAAGGTTCATCTTTAAACTAAACACCCAATCTCTTTTCTTCTTTCTAATTTTCAATAAGGATTAATCTCAGTTATTTTATGGCTGCATCTAATCTTCTCCTTAGACTGCCTACATACCCTACGAAGGAATCAAGCAAATCGTAGTTCACATTTCATTTTCAATCCATTTCCGATTATATTCAAATAGCCAAAATAATCAACATTAGCTTTAATAAACGAAACAAATCAAATGGATACCAAATTCATATTTAGAATATTAAAATTTGCACAAAATGGCATTATCGGGACCCTAGCCACCCGCTGCCACACATGGTGATTTCCGGCGAATGAAAACCTAATTTTCCGATGAATTCTAAAAATTACCAAATTTTACAGGCAAGTAGAGTTCAAAGAAAGGAACAACTTTCATATTGGGCTGAAGTCCAATTCGGCCGAGAAACACCTCAAATCACCCTTGAACCGCTGAAAGCCCTTGAATTGGGTGTTCTTGATTTGACTCTAAAACAACTCTGACGCCCCAACCAATGCATGGGCTTTGTTCCAGGCCTTAAGGAGAGTCCAAGGTTGGTTGTAATTGAAGGATTTAGCTTCAGGATTTGAGGAATCACCACCACGAACTTGTTACACCCACCGTTGGTTTTCACAATTTCAAGCCCAAATTTCATCGAATTTGGGTGGAATGAGTAGAGGGAAGGTCGTGGGGTATTTCTCAGGTGGTTTCTTGGAGTAATTCTCCGAAATTTGGTCGGGAAATGCATCAGAAACCCTTGTTTCCGTCAGCTTGGGTCGCCAAAGAAAAACGGGCCAAGGGAAGGGCTGGATTGTCGACCCCTCTCCCTCTCTTCTTTCTCCTCCTTTTCTCCTTTCCCATTGGTCATCTCCTTTTCTCCATTCCCCCCCCCCCCCCATTGGGCCGACTTCCTTACCTTATTTCTCATTTTCTTCTTCTCCTATTAGTCCATCTCTCTCCTTCCCCTTCTCATCCCACCATCCTGGCCACACATGTGGCATCATTTGATTGTTCCAAAAATCTGGAGTCTTCTAGATGAGGGCCAAAATTACAAAAATGTCCCTAACTTTAAACATTAATAACTCTTTCGTTATAACTCTGTTTCATGAACGGGTTTTGCCTACGCACTCGTAGGATTGTCCTCTATCCAAATATATCAACAAATATAATACAATATGTAAGGATAAAATATGTCCTTGTATAATTACATTGGGCCAACTAGGGGCATTTTCGTTATTTTCTACATAATGAAAAATTATACAACATAAATAATAATAAAATCAAGGAACGGGATTCCACATTTTCCCCATTCAAAATTCATAACCCTAATTCAATTTCCTCCACATAACTAATTTATATTTATATTTTATTTTTCAAGGTATTACAATTAATGTATGGGACTTGTGTTTTAGTTGATTAGATAGAGACACACTTCTTTATGAAAGATTTTCATGATATGAAAATTAGTATTCTAAAACTTCGATGAAATCTAGAGTTTGTACCTTTTCGATGATTCAATTTGAAAATTTGTTTGCTTAACGATAGGGTCAGTTTATTGATTTTGTTATGCAATCTATGTATCTAGAAACAAATTGATTTATTCTGGTTGAAATTGTCACATCCCCGCCCGGGGTCCACCACATCTCGGGCCCGCTTCATCATCGCAGCACGATATTGTCCACTTTGGGCCCCGACCACGCCTTCACGGTTTTGTTTTTGGGAACTCACACGAGAACTTCTCAGTGGGTCACCCATCATGGGATTGCTCTCGCGCGCTACTCGCTTAACTTCGGAGTTCCAATGGAACCCGAAGCCAGTGAGCTCCCAAAAGGCCTCGTGCTAGGTAGGGATGGGAATATACATATAAGAATCACTCACCTGGGCGATGTGGGATCTAACAATCCACCCCCCTTAGGGGCCCGACATCCTCATCGGCACACCACGGGTAGGGTTAGACTTTGATACCAAATTGTCACATCCCCACCCAGGGTCCACCATATCCTGGGCCTGCTCCACCACAGTAGCACGATATTGTCCTCTTTGGGCCCCGACCACGCCCTCATGGTTTTGTTTCTGGGAACTCACATGAGAACTTCCTAGTGGATCACCCATCATGGGATTGCTCTCGCGCGCTACTCGCATAACTTCGGAGTTCCAATGAAACCTAAAGCCAGTGAGCTCCCAAAAGGCCTCGTGCTATGTAGGGATGAGAATATATATATAAAGATCACTCCCCTGGGCAATGTGGGATCTAACAGAAATTCAACCTAAAAAAGTTGCAAAAAAATAAAAAAAACCGAACCGTAAAAAACTAAACCAAAGTTAAATTGAACCAAAAAAAACCGAAAGGAAACCAAATCGAATAGTAATTTCGGTTTGATTCCCGGTTGTGGTAAAAAACCTAACCGAACCCATCCCTAAAGAGGAATACCACTATTGTGTTGAAAACTTTCTTATACACACTCAATGCGACTCTCTAATATTTAGTGCACTCTATGTATGAACCCACCCCTAAAGAGGAATACCACTTATGTGTTGAAAACTTTCTCATATGCACTCCATGAGACTCTCTAATATTTAGTGCTTTCTATGTATGATTATGAAAAACATTTTTAATGATTATAGGGGGCTAGGGGGCTTCCCTATTTATAGAATTTGAGATACCTTTTTGGAAAACATGCAACCATTCATGAAGAGTCAAAAGTTGCAATTCTTCATTAGGACAGACACATATTTCCACCAAGATGCATCACTTGTAATTTCTATTCAATTAATAAATTTAATATAATAATATTCTTAAATTTTCCAACATTTTTAGTATTCTCACATTTATAAGAAGGTAACCAAATCATTGATGCCCTTGCAAATCACGGTTTCTCTTATACTAGTCTGGTTTGGTGGGATTCTCCTAATTTCATATTGTCGTATCATCATTGTGATTATCCAGAGCTTCCAGACTACCACTTTAGATAGCTTATATTTTGTTGGCCTTGTTATACCTTGTATTGGTTGTCGGAGGGTTAGTTTATTATGGCTACTATTTATGGTTAGAGTTAGGCTTTGTGTCCTCCTTAACTGATTTTAATTTCTTCTTTTTAATAAAGCTACCTCATTGTTTGTCACTTCTCATGATAACAATGCTAGAGTGGGATTGACTTTGAGATTTTACCAAAAAAAAAAAAAAAAGGGTTTGATTCTCATAGATGATAAGTCTGATACCAAATTATCATGACATGTTCACTATAACTTAGCCCAAATATTTTACCCTTAGTGTAAATTAGGGATAATGTTACATACACACCCATTTTTATTTCCCACGCACACTTGTTAATTTTTTTTTGACATTGATCTTTTTCAATTCATTTGATTTGATATCTGAAAATTAAGAGGCATCTGTGAGAAATAAAAATAGGTGTGCAGAGAGCACTACCTGTAAATTAATGGTTGTATTTTTAGAATGCTAAATAACCACTTAAAAAAGGCTTATTAATTGATTTGCCCTCCTTAAACTGTCATTTAGTCTCACTTTACCTTTTAAAATTGGTTATGTCTCATTTTGCTCCATGAGATGGACATTTTTGTCTTCTTTCACCCCATTTTTGTTCATTGCATCAAACATTAAATTAAAAGGGTAGGGTGGACATTTTATTTTTGACACAAGTCTTTACCTCCAACTTGCCTGTTAAAACAATCTAAATTCCATTTTCAATAATTCTGATGTAAGCCCCTGCTTGTCTCTCTTGCTAATTGATGTGGAGCTGTAACTGTAGCCGT